TATAGCTCATATTTGGGTGGAGTGACCTCTATGGCAGCTGTGCAAAGAAGGACAGAGGGAATGGCGTCACAATGAATTTTTCTGCATTTGTAAATGACCCGTCTGCCGCGTCACAAAACACGGAGGAGAGAGCGTGCGGCTGCGGTGGCGCTCTGGGCGGGAGGGATGGAGTGGGAGGGGTCAGGTTGGATCTCCCATACCCCAGACATGAGGAGGACATTGTGCATACTTGGTTCCTGAAGGAGTAGTTTCTCACGGGGTCTTCGGCTGCCAGCGAGATGCTGCTCAGGAGGATGAAGAAGAGGATCAGGTTGGTGAAGATGTTGTTGTTGACAATACGGTGACAGTGGAGGCGGAACCTGCGAGACGGACAGAAAGGGACAAAATGCGGGCCGTTAGAGGGGACAAACGTCTGCGGTGAAGGGACTTTGGAAATGTGGTGGAGAAATTCCCATACACTTTACCTTATAGCAGGGGTAGCCAAACTCCAGCTTTGTCGAAACTACAAATCCCATGATGCACCTCTCCCTGGGAGTCATGTATGTGGCTGTGAGAATCTTGCAATGCCTCATGGGATTTGTAGTTCCAGCACAGATGGAGGGCCAGAGTTTGGCTATGCCTGCCTTCTAGTTTCTAAATGAGAAGAACACATTCCCCTGAATTTTAGCTATTTCTGCATAACAGACGTGATAAATATGTTTTATTAGACCTGCCCAGGTTCCTCAGGGTTCTCTTGGCTGGAATCTGCGTAAGTGGGACAATCTCTATCACAGGTCAGTTTGTACGGCACAGATCGCCCTCTGTCTAATTAATAAGGTTATATGAAGGCAAAAATGAGGACACGGTCCCTGGAGGAGGGACACCTAGAGAAAGTACAGATTTAATGGGATTAAAAGGATCAGAGAGACACAGGGGATGCTCTGAGCGGACTGCGGTTAACCTATACTGAAGGATCTACCTGTAAAGTGACTCAAGTCTGATATCTGTGTTTAAGGTTGTCGGCCATTGTGACAGAGCGCTGTATCGGTCGTATAGGTTTAGGTTTTGTACTGTGTGCATCGCAAGGAGCCATTTAAATGACAGATCCTCCAACTCCAAGACCCGAAGGAAGTTTTGAACTGATGACATCATCTCAGCCTGGGCAAGATCATTGGTTGGAGCTGAAAGATGGTTTTTGGTGATAAAAGGTGGAACTTTTCTGAAATGTTATGATGTTGCTGTATGCTGACATGTCAGGAATTTTTTCATGCACTCCCAGACCCATCTTAGGCTTACTGCACTGTGAGTTTACTGTATGTAAATGAAGCTGCGCTGATGCCGTATCACTGAAGCTTACCACATCATTATGGTAAATCTGTAAAAAATAAGTCAAGGCAACTGGACTTGCTGTATTTTTCTTGAAGACGTTTCACTGGTCATCCAACCAGCTTTCTCAATTCTGAATCTGAATTCCGAATTGAGAAAGCTGTTTGGATGATCAGTGAAACGTCTTCAAGAAAAATACAGCAAGTCTAGTTGCCTTGACTTATTTTTTCAGATATACCATGACCTGGATGAAGGAGAACCTTCACAGTGATTATGGTAAAGGTATGACAACTTTAACGAAGATAATATTATTTTAAGAGGGTTACATTACCATGCTGTATATTTTGTATTCAAAACTGAACTCCAGACAGATACAAACACAAATTAACCACCAGGGGGTCTGTTTATAAACAATTTTCAGAGCCTTTCATCCTCAGAATGACTAAAAATGTTCATTCTGTGCGAAGAGAGGCAAAAAACGAACGTTCTTAGTACATTTTCTTTTTGGGTCGAATGTAATGTAATGTAAAACTGCACTATGGCAAGTAGATGGGGCTGAGGAGCCTGGGATATAGGGATTTATTTCCTATGCTACTCCTCTCCATCTAGTGGCCACAATGTGGTACTAATTACATTCAACCCAGAAGAAAATAGACTAAGAACGTTCATTTTTGTCTCTATTCACTCAGAATCAACATCCACAAAGATTCACAGGGCGAATGGCTCTTCAATTGTTTAAAAATAGACCCCTAGTTACTGATTATAAAATATTTCAGCAAGTGGCCTAGATATCTACATAACAGAAGCCGGCAAAGATCTGTTATAATGTTTGCTATTAGGATTGCACTGTCTCTGGATAACCTGGAGCGGATCTGTTAAATTGTAATAGTTTGAAATTACTTGTTGTCTGGACGGAAGACAAAGAAAGCGGTGGCTTCGGGCATGGGAACAGCCTTCTCCTTCATGTGCAGTTCAGAAAGTGGGCGGGGTCGAGGACCAACAGGCATCTCAGGCTCCTCCTCTTCCTCCTCCCCTGAGGAACACAAAATCATTTTAATTAAGAGAAGATTCTACAAGATGTGTTTCATGTTATAGGAGTCATTCATAGCAGGTCTTAACGGTCATCCTCTATATGTTCTATGTTGTTATTTCTCTGCAATAATCAGACATTTCTCAGCACTTTACCAACCTTCCCAGAATCCTTTGCTGCAGTTACCTGGGTTTTCATTGCTGCTGGGATATGGAGACTTCTCATCGTTTTCGTTGGAGGGATAATCTTCCACATTAATCTACAGGAAGGAGACAGAAGAGCAATAGTCAGAGATGTGTTTGGAGATGACTGAAGAATAGGATCAGGAGACGGTCTACATGAGCCCATTAAAACTGTGTTATAAAGAAAACTTAGTAATATAGAGGCATGTGATAGGCTGGAGTCGGGGCGTTCCCGTGATGTCATTCACACCTTGGTAGTAGGAGGTGACTCGCCATCTGCGGTGATGGCCTTCAATTCGATCTTCTCTTTGTTTTCCTCCACCGCCGGCACCGGAGATTTTCCAATCGTCTCGTTCTCTTGTTTCTTCTCCGGGCTCGCCGTTCTGAGGGGAAGGTAAGAACATATTTCAACTCATACATGGGGACATATCATGACACTTCTAATCCAATCATATACAGTAATACCTTGGTTTACAAGTAACTTGGTTTGAGAGCGTTTTGCAAGACAAGCAAACATTTCTGAAAAATGTTGCCTTGATATACAAGCAATGTCTTGCAAAAAGAGCAACATTTGGTAGAAAAGCACCACCCGAACAAGGCTGTAGAAGTGCGAGCGATGAGACTCTTTAACGACAACACAATGTCACATTGGATAGATTCCTTGTTAAGGTTTCACGAAATGAAAAAGATTCCATTGAGCCAAGAGATAGCAGTGATTCCGTTAGTGATAGTGAAAGTCGTCCTACACAATAATCCTCCTCTCTCTTGTCCCCCTCACACAGGCCACAAAAGGTACCTGTAATTGGTTTACTTTTCTTTACATTTTATACGTTATTATATTACAGTACAGTATTGTAATCATTTTTATATGAATATTTTTGGGTTGTGGAACGAATCATCTGAATTTCCATTATTTCCTATGAGGAAATTCGCTTTGATATACAAGCGCTTTGGATTACAAGCATGCTTCCGGAACGAATTATGCTCTTAAACCAAGGTATTACTGTACAGTATTTACATCACCCTGAAATGCAGGTGGTGACTTTTTTTTTCTTTGGCCAGGCAGTGTATGGGAGGCAAGGGGAAAGGTAGAAGAGTCTTTACAAATGACCAGAATATTACTCTTACGTCTAGGAGAATTGTTCACTGATCTAACTGCAGCACGCTGGAATCTCATTGGCTGCTAGGGGGTCAGCACACATTTTCCCTATCAGTCTGTTTAGGAAAAGGGGAGACTTACCGGGCCAGTTTCTTCCTCTCCTTCTCTTCCTCCTCTTCCTTCTGAGCAGAGGTCAAACTTTCTGCATCTGCCAAATTGTCCACAGCAATGGCCAAGAAAACATTTAGCAGGATATCTGATGCAGGAGTTAAGGAACGGGGGGTAAGCCTCAATCGTTTCTACCCATGACAATGAAGAAATGACTAACTGTGCAGAAGGGCATTTGTCCCCTTGCTTCTCCTTCCCATTTTTACATTTTCATCTCCAAGAACTGTCTGCCAGTGTTACTGGTTGTTTCCAGTCTGCTGGAATAAATTCCCGACTTGCCACAATATACAGCAACAGTATTATGTTTCAGAGATGCTACACCTTTTACCATTAAGAAGCCATCCTGGTGCTCCAGGCCAGAGATTTTTGATGACTAAAATGATGTCATCAGTCTGCTGCAGGCAGGAGGAAGCATTTCCTCAGTCTGTTGTCCCCCAGTGATCAGACTGCAACATTGTAACTTTGTATCAAGTCACAGGGTGAGAGGCTGCAGCAGGGGCTGATCTGTGTCATTTGTGAACACAGCCATGAACTGCGCAGACACCAGGATTTGCATATCTGTCATATCTCCGGGAAGTAGATGGTGACCCTGGATGATGCCTTAAAGGAGAACTATGAGATGAGTGATTTCCACTCACCTCATAGTTCTAGCCGACCTGTGACAATGAGACTGTCACAGGTCGGCTCAGTAGATCGGGAGGTGAGCGAACACATACCGGCGTTCGCTCACCTCTCGATCCTGTCACGGCTCTCTGCCGTGACAGGGGGAGGGGCTGGATTCCCCTCTCCACTTAGGGTGACGGGAGGACGCTAGTTTGTGTCCTCCCGTTACCCTAAGGAGAACTATGGGGAAAAAAACTGACCCCATAGTTCTCCTTTAACAAAGATGGGGTCGTCCTTATGGAGAGAGAAGCAGATGAAGACATTGTCAGGGTGAGTACTGTGATCTTTGTGAGAGGCAATAAATACCTGAAAGCATTACACTGACACAGTACTGAGCATGCTGCACGTGATCATGAAAAATAGCTTATGAGAGGCCTAATTTAATGTTTCCGTATATCTGAGCTTCTAGCACAGCTCAGCATCCCAAAAGGTGCAGAAAACCTTATTTCTTACTATCGGTCAGTGACTCAATGTTCACACAGGCCCGGATTCCCCACAAGGCCACCGAGGCAGGGCGCAGAGGGGCGGCAGCGGTGTCCTTGTGGGGAAGTTGCCCTCTCTACATTCAGTCCTGCTCTGTACAAGCAGGACTAAATGTTGTGTGAGGCAGACGATTTTTCGTTTACATGTGAACTCGGCGATGTACAGTGAGCGGCAGGGTTAAAACTAACCCTGCTGCTCCATGTAGACTGTAGACAGTGAGAGGGGAGAGCTGTGCTCTTCCTCTCTCACCTGCACAGTGCTGTGCTAAAACTCCTGTATTGGAGGTGACAGGGTCAATAAAGAGAACCTGTCACCTCCAATTGCTATCACACAGGGGATTGTTTTCTCCTGTGTGATAACAATAAAGTTAGGTGGAAAAAAAATGTAATTGATTTAAAAAAAAAAAAAATAATAATATGAAATAATTAAATAAAAAATAAAAAGTTTTAAAAAAGTTTTAAAAAAATAAAGGAACCGTAAAAAAATTGACACTAACCCCACCGCCCTGCCATCTGGGTGCCATTCTCCATTGATGGGAAGGGGGGGGCGCATCGCAGAACCTGGCCTTGGGGCGGCAGGGAGAGTAAATCCGGCCCTGTGTCCACATCTAATGGAAACACCTTTAAAGGATGAGTTCAATTAAATACAACATGCGGTGCACCAGGTTGTGGGCTGTGAACAAACACTCCCATGTGGAATAATATGAGTCTCTTGTAAACATTGGAGAGATGTCTGATAGGTATTTTCATTCTTCCCAGAATTATACAACAAGCAACCAGCATTTTAGGGGCCACTGTTCTTAGGGAAAACTTTCTGAACACAAAAGCAAAAGGTGGAGATATGTGACAGATGGTAAGAAGAACCTGGGGATAAAAGCCTGCATGTGCAATTATATGCTAGCCGTTACAATGGCTTAATGGGGTGAATTCATGATCAATGATGTAATTGTAGGTCTGAAATGAGATCAGTGGGGGTGTGGCTTTATGGCTAATGGATGTCATTGTAGGTTGGGAATAAAGTAATTGGGGGTGTGGCTTTATAGTCAATTGAAGTTGTTGTAGGTTGGAAATAGGATTACTTGGGGTGTGGCCTTATAGCTAATTAATGTCATTGTAGGCTGGAAATAATATCATTGGGGGTGTGGCCTTATGGCTAATTGATGGCATTGTAGGTTGGAAATAGGATTACTGGGGGTGTGGCCTTATGGCTAATTGATGCCATTGTAGGTTGGAAATAAGATCATTGGGGGTGTGGCCTTATTACCAGTTAATATCATTGTAGTTTGGATTCATGGCCAATTATGTCACTGTAGATCTGAAATGAGATCATTGGGGGTGGGTCTTTATGGTCACTAGATGTTATTGTAGCTAAGAAATAGATCAATGGGGTGTGACTTTATTGCTAGTTAATGTCATAGTAGGTCGGAAATAATATTATTGGGGGTGTGGACTTATGGCCAATGGATGTCATTGTAGGTTGGAAATAAGATCACTGTAGGGTGGCTTTGTTGCCAGGTAATATTGGAGGTAGGAAATAATATCATTGGGGGTGTGGTTTTATGGCCACATGATGTCATAGTAAATTGGAAATAACATCGTGAGAGGGTCTTTTTGGACAATTGATGTCATTAGATTAGAAATAACATAATTGGGGGTGTGGCTCGTTCCACAATTTTGGAGTGACCTTCCCCTCCCTGCACTTGTAAGACAGGATACAGTTTCCACAGATGAAGAGGATGATGAAGTAGATGCAGACAAGCATCCCGGGAAATGAGGGTCCGCCATACGCCATGATCCCGTCGTACATCACTGAATTCCAGTCCTCTCCGGTGAGGATCTGCGTGAGATAAAATAAAGCAAAAGGAAGGAGAACGAAAAAAAGAAACTTTGAATTTTATCCCATACCACAGATTGCCTGATACTAGAGAACACATCCACGGAACATTATTTTGATTTAAAATGGTCAAGCTGCCCTTGTTTTAGAAAAGCTACAGATGCTTCTCAGAAAGAAGCTTTTTATAGCATCCTGTTCCTGTAACTGCCGAGGACACATGCATCAATCAAAAGTTTAGCTCTAGTTTTTAGCCCCTCCTCCTCATTAGCATAGCATAGCTAATCAGGTTTAAATGAGGAAAAAAACCCTCAGGCTCTCTGGATACAATTGAGGACTTCCTGAATGAGCTGTGGTGTTAATCATCATGTAGCAGAGTGGTTGGGCACTACGTATATGGCTTGTGGGCTTATTGCCTGCATGTGGGGCGATCACATCATGATCAGTGAAGTTTTTCAGCTGATAAACGCTCTATAGTAAAAGCAGGAGAGATTCTTCTTGCTTAAGCTGCACAGACAAGACAAATGGAAAGACTGGGATGGGAAAAAACTCAATGATATCACAGCATGAGGACCTGCTTCTTCTATCCTTTGGAACCTGTCAAGAATGGATTGGAAACGTTTAAAGTGAAAAGGCCGCACCTGGAAGACAGTAAGCAGGGCCTGCGGAAAGTTGTCGAAGGTGCTGCGGCGGGTCTGCATCTCGTCGAAGTTGAACTTTCCCCCGAAGAGCTGCATCCCCAACAGAGAGAAGATGATGATGAAGAGAAAGAGGAGGAGCAGCAGGGAGGCGATGGAGCGCACGGAATTCAGCAGAGAGGCCACCAAATTACTGAGGGAATTCCAGTACCTGAGAGACACAAAAAGAGACACTCAGCAACTGCAAGTTATCGAAGAGTACATACCTTATTTTACCCACATGGAGCATGCTATGTACTAGGGATGCACCAAAACCGAGTATTTGGGTGAGTACGCGTAGTAAGCTCCCGATGCTTATGGAACTTCCGGTATCAGGAAGCCGGGCGGCGAGTCATTACACGCTGACCGGCTTCCTGATTGGCCGAGAAGCCGGCTCCTGCTTCCTCCCCATCAGGGAGCATTGAGCTGGCTTCCCTGCCAATCAGGAAGCCAGGGGGTGGGTAATGACTCGCTGCCTGGCTTCCTGACATCGGGAGCATTTGGACGAGTACTCACCTAAATACTTGGTATTGGTGCATCCCTAGTCATTACATGCTAATCAGGAAACCGGGCGGCGAGTCATTACACGCCTCCTGGCTTCCTTAATGGGACTTCCGGTATTGATATCGGCGAGCACCGAGCAAAAAAAAAAAAAAGTACTCGATACTGAAAAAACGGTATCGGTGAATCCCTACTGAGTACTGCATCACATTAAATTCCAAATAACCTGTCAGTTTAAATCAGCTAAATACGTTCGTTACGTACGAACATCAAAACTAAAAGCATGCAACAGTCTCACAGTTTATCTTCTTTAAAAAGTAGCCACAGCCTAGAAGAGTTTCAGAGTAGAAAAGCCTGTCCCCTGCCAGCATTCTGCAGAACTCTTGGTGGTCTCTCTGCATATCCCAGCCACACAACTCCAGGTGAGATGGGGGTGAAGAGGGTACCTGGTGATCTTGAATATCCTGAGGAGACGCACGCAGCGCAGGACGGAGATGCCCAAAGGGGACATGATTTTGGTCTCTACCAATATGGTTTCCAGGATCCCCCCACAGACGATGAAACAGTCGAAACGGTTGAAGAGGGAGACGAAGTACGCCTGGAGCCCCAGACTGTACATCTTCAGGAGCATCTCAGCGGTGAAGAGCGCCAGGAGGACTTTGTTTACCGTGTCTGCAACACAGAGAATAAAATATTACAAAACAATACCAGCTTATTCCATAACAATCAAACAGCGATGATCATTAACTGCCAGCAGACTCAATTCCTGCTTTCCCTTCTTGAGAAATCCTAGATTGTCATGCCAATAATTATTTAGGGGGGCGAGACTTTCTTTTGGTTCAACTGTCTATCAAAAAAGTATTTTGTTTTGTAAAAGAACGATTCAAATGATTGTATCGGGGTCTATTTATAAACCGTCCGCAGGGCGCCTCACCCTGCCAATATCTGAGAACATTCGGTCTGTGCGGATATGGCATATATTTGTTCATTTTGACATACATTCACACAGAGCGAATGTTCACAGATATTTGCAGATATGTTTATAAATAGACCTTTAAATGTATTCATTTTGTGCTGGATAACCCACTGTTGTGGGAATGGGGCAAATTAAAATGTTCTTGGGGTATTTTCTCATCTGGCCGAATGTTCTTTAGACTATAAATAACACAAATCTGCTGGTGTTTGCTCTCATTTGCAGATCTAATGAGCAATAGTATACTATGAATGGTCCTGTCAATTTCAATAAGAGCGGTATGACTGTGCTGGAAGTAGATACATCAACCACAGAGGTGCTGGAAATATTAGTCCCATAGTGGACCGGCGCTGATGATTGCCTTTGGCAGATAGAGACAATGCTGCAAAACAGAAAAAGTATATATGCTCACTGCTCTGAGGATCCGTACAGCCTCCTAAGGCCCCATTCATACCTGTAGCTCGAATGTGTAAGTGATACAAGGCTCAACAAAGAGGAATCATGGCCCAAAAGCGTGTAGCAAAACAGGCATTTTTCATACATATTCTTGCTTAGTAACTAGCTTTCCATCAGCTAAAAATAATAATAATTAAATAATAATAAAATAAAAATAATAAATAAAATGCTAATGCCTTAAAAGTGTGCAAAAACATGCAAAAAAACGCTGAAAAAAAACGCCAGAAAAAGGACCAAAGACACTCTGAAGCGCGCCTTACTCTGCATGGATGTGGTGCAATGAGTATATTTATTTTTATGTTATTTATATTTATGTGACTTATATTCTTAAGAACATTCAACTACAAGAGAAATGACACTAAGAACATTCGATAAATAAATAAAATATATAAAAATGTAAAAGTTTATAAAAAATAAATAAAAATAAACTATTTTAGAAATAGTTAAAAAGTTAGGAAAAAAACATTTTCGGTTTCGGCCTGACATTTTTTTTCATTTCGATTTTAAATTTTAATTTCGGCGCACCTCTAATAAATAAACCTCTTTGCGTATTTTGTTAACTCAACACTAAAAAAGACAAAGTGGCCCATTTATAAATCTTCCGCCACTAGATGGAGGTTCATGTGGTTTGTTACATTGGGTGGGATCTTCGTGATAGGTTCATTATTTGGTGGTTTTCCTTACCTTGTACTTCGGTCAGCCAGTCGGGTTGGTTGTAGTGCTCGGAAGCGATGGTCAGCGTGTTCAGGAATACCAGAAATATCACCAGCCAATAGAAGACGTTGGACTTCACCGCCGCCCGGCACTTTCGCCGACAAAACCGGTTCCAGCGCCGCCAGTAACGGCTGCAGAATGTGGGAAACAGGGATAGGTGTTACAGAAGAAGTGGTAAGACAGAAATAAGCAAACCCTTTGGGGGGCGTGACTGAAAACCACCCCACCCCTGAGGGCTAGTCCTGGTGTGGTCTAGTGTGGTGTTTTTTTTGGCTCTGACGTGCTCTTCCACAAGAAAAGATGATGTGTCCCGCTGTATCAATTTATATCTGTTATATCGTAATAAAAGCTAAACTCCATGCAGATATAAAAGACACAAATTAATGCAGCTTTGTATTTATGAAAATATTTGTTTAAAATTAAAGTTTTAGTACTGTACTTGAATATGACCTGTTGTCAGCCAGTTGCACCCCACCTTTACAGCAGGGCTCATACTAGGGAAGTAGAAAGCAGCACAAGGAGCCAAGAGGTGAGCTCATCAGTCTGCTGTTTCTTCTTTTACTGTCCAATCACAGGCTGGGGGAGGGACAAGACCCATAAAGCTGACCACACATGTATAAAATTTTGGCTTTTTCCTGCTGAATTTACCAAAATGTAATCAGTGGTTGGCCCTGTCGACACCACTTGGCTTTTAATGGACTTTTGTCAAAGGAGCCGGGTGGAAAATTGTTGGCAACACAGTGACTGCAGTCAATCAGATGCTGTCAGTGATCGGGTATTCCGCAGGCTCTGGCTAATAGAATACAACAGCCAGCAGGGAAGATTTCTCCAATCTTGTTCTTGAGTGTGAATGGAGAAATTGAGTGATTTTTCTCATTCAGCCCGCTCCCCATACATTGTATGGTCAACTGACAGAGGAACTTTACCCCTATCTTTCAAATGACAACACACACACCTTTAGAAATGTTTAGTAATGACAATCTACTAACACATACTTCTACATCATTGCCGGCTTTCTATTCTTCCCATACCTTATTTTTCTTTTCCTCCCCCATTCTTCTCACAGTTGCCATTTTAACTAAGGGCAGATTAATCCATCTCCCTTTACTTCCTGGAACTCTGGCACATGTGACTAGGACATGTGACCATGCACATCATCTCAGGGGAGGACCATGCCTTTCCCGTAATTTTCATGAGATTACAGATGAGATTCCCCAGCAATGCTCTGCTGATGTAACCTTCCCAGGATGCAACGCTTGGGCACAGATGACATCACTAATGCCCAAGAGGATCAGGAAGTGGAAAACAGTAATTTTAAGTAAAAGCAAAAAGTGTTTGTTTAAGCAATGAATGTAAGATGATTTCATATCATTTCATATCTGCATCCTGATGTGATTTATAGTGAAAGGGGCTAAAGGTCCACTTTAAGTATTACTCCAACAATTCATTCCCACACAGCTACCTCCTCATGTATCACTTCCCCCTCCCTTTTAGATTGTAAGCCCTCAGGGGCAGGCCAGGGGCTTATTACCATCTTGTCTTGAATTGTATTGTGTTTGTAATGTCTTCCTTATATTGTAAAGCGCTGAGCAAACTGTTAGCGCTATAATCAAATATAAAAATGTATAAAAAGATATAATTAAAATCCTGTATAATAATAATAATACAAAACTGCAGATGATAAAAAATTAGGTCTCCTGCCCTGCCCTTCTATGCTGTCTGGAAGAGATGTGTGAATTGGATGGACAGAATTACAATTCCTTTGGCAGGTAAACAGCTCCCCTATATGTATTACATTTGTTTGCTTGGGGTTTAGCTTTAACCTTTATATGTACACCCTTCTTTATAGAAGCCTTATCATTTTTTAGTTTGGTACACAGATTTGTGTATTAGTTGCTCACAGGGAACATAAGATGGTTGAAGTGCTTATATTTTGGCCTTGTTCACACCGAAAGCGTGTGTGTTCCAAAGCGGTAGCTGCTGGAATGCACCGCGATCGCTGAGAAAATTCCCCCCGCGTTTTGGAGCGGGAGGGGGCGTGGCGGTGCATTAAATTAAATGGCACCGCTTCCACGCCCACCCGCCTGCAGTGCGATCGGACGTGTGGCAAAACTTTGCCAGCGTTCCGTTCCACTGCAAACGCAAAAAATAGAGCAAGCCCTATTTTTTGCGTTTGCAGTGGAACGGAATGCTGGCAAAGTTTTGCCACGCGTCCAATGCACCGTCACGCCCCCTCCCGCCCCAAAATGCGGTGAGAAGTTTCTTAGCGATCGCTGTGCGTTCCAGCAGCTACTGCTCTGGAACGCTTTAGGTGTGAACAAGGCCTTAATTATTTCATCCTATCCATAAAGAGTTTTCTGGGTTTTAATCAGACCCGGGTTCTATAAATGAATGTAATCACTGGGCTATGTCACATGAACCTTTACTACAGAAATAACAATATTCTTGGTATTGTCATCATTATTACATATATGAGAGTTCTTTGTAGGATCCGGTATCTGCATTCATATCAGGAAGCAGCACTATTTCTGTGCATTCCCCTTGGATGGGTCCTATTCCAGCTCTGCCCTCTGCATTGCATATATTTGTATGCACAGACGCCCTTTGCATCATACACAAGGGCACACAGGAGGGCACGTCCCAGCCAATACATTCAATTAACTTCCATACCCCCTTTAACGACTGCGCAGACGGATCTGTCCTTGTTTGATTTCCCTTCAGTATGGCGGAGTGCACCTTATCACTTTGCTGAAGTGCAGGATCTTAAAGGGACTCTGTAATGGACATGTGTGACAAGGCCCTGATGGAAGCAGCTATTCCCCCACTGTTTTACATGCTAGCTCCAGAACAGTGTGACTCAGTGATCTGTGTCAGGTCTGCAGGAACATGTTAACGGTGAAAAGCATTCCGCTTACAGATCACGGCTTTTGCTGGTCTCGGTGGGATCGCTCATAGGAGATTCTGTAGTGTATATCCTAACCCTGGAGGATGAGCTGATGTCCTTCAGGGTGTATACATACCGCCAATAGCCATCAAGTGTTTACAGGGTATGTCTGGGCAAAACAGCAACACGCATCCAGTACATCTCTGCAATACATTCCCCCATGGCACATCCCTTCAGAAAAGATGCCAGTGCTGAAAAATACCAGGAAATCCAGGGAGCTCCTAACTTACTCCTAACTAACAATGGTGACTCTGCTGGATCTATCTATCTATTGCCAAAAGTATTTGGAAACCCCTCCAAATCATTGGATTCAGGCACCTCGGCATGCAGACGCTTCTACAAACATTTGTGAAAGAATGGGTCGCTCTCAGGAGTTCAGTGACTATAAGCGTGGTACCGTGATAGGTTGTCACCTGTGCAATAAGTCCATCCGTGAAATTTCCTTGCTACTAAATATTCCACGGTCACCTGTTAGAGGTATTATAACAAAGTGGAAGCAGCTGGGAACAACAGCAACTCAGCCACGAAGTGGTAGGCCACGTAAAATGACAGAGCGGGGTCAGCGCATGAAGTCGCTAACTGTCTGCAGAGTCAATAGCTACAGACTTCCAAACTTCATGTGGCCTTCAGATTGGCACAACAACAGTGTAAAGAGAGCTTCATGGAATGGGTTTCCAAGGCCGAGCAGCTGCAGCCAAGCCTTACATCACCAAGTGCAATGCAAAGCGTGGGATGCCGTGGTGTAAAGCACGCCGCCACTGGACTCTAGAGAAGTGGAGACGTGTTCTCTGGAGTGACCAATCACGCTTCTCTGTCTGGCAATCCGATGGACGTGTCTGGGTTTGGCGGTTGCCAGGAGAACGGTACTTGCCTGACTGCATTGTGCCAGGTGTAAAGTTTGGTGGAGGGGGGATTATGGTGTGGGGTTGTTTTTCAGGGGATGGGCTTGGCCCCTTAGTTCCAGTGAAGGGAACTCTTAAGGCATCAGCATACCAAGACGTTTTGGACAATTTCATGCTCCCAACTTTGTGGGAACAGTCTGGGGTGGCCTGCACAGGAACTTGACTGGCCTGCACAAGGCTCAACAAAGAGGAATCATGGCCCAAAAGCGTGTAGCAAAACACCCGTACCTTGATAAAGTACATGAGTTTCTTTTGGGGCAGATTAGTGTGTTTTGGCCGCAATAGACTTCAATTAGGGTGCCTGAAAAAAATGCATGAAAATGCACAAAAACAGGCATTTTTCATACATATTCTTGCTTAGCAACTAGCTTTCCATCAGCTAAAAATAATAATAATTAAATAATAATAAAATAAAAATAATAAATAAAATGCTAATGCCTTAAAAGTGTGCAAAAACATGCAAAAAAACGCTGAAAAAAAACGCCAGAAAAAGGACCAAAGACACTCTGAAGCGCGCCTTACTCTGCATGGATGTGGTGCAATGAGTATATTTATTTTTATGTTATTTATATTTATGTGACTTATATTCTTAAGAACATTCAACTACAAGAGAAATGACACTAAGAACATTCGATTGGCACAGAATGGTTTATTGGCACAGAATAAATGTACTGGCGGGCTGCCTGGACAAATAGCTTTTTTTTCTTATTTTTATAAAAAGTAGGGATGTACCGATATATCGATTGCCGAAACGTATTGGCCGAAAATTGCACTTTTGGCAAAATGCCGAAAGTGCAATTTTTCTGCCGATATAGCAATGTATCTGTGATTTCTCTCCTCCCACACCGCTCAGCCTCCTGTCACAGATCAGAGGAGAGCGGCTATGTGAGGGCAGAGACAGCCAGCACTTTCACAGGAGGCAATGTGGGGGAGGAGTCAGCTGTCAGATCGAGCTCTCCTCCCCGCACCCGGAAGAATGGTCAAACACTCCCATAGGCACACTCCAAAACCTTGTGGACGCCTTTCCAGAAGAGTTGAAGCTGTTATAGCGGCAATGGGTGGGCCAATCAGGAAGGACAGCGGGTACAAACACTCAATGATCAGAGATCGCTGAGTGTTTGTAAATAATTGAGGACAGAGTATGGTTGCTATATCCTCAATGATGAATGAATGGGAAGTGATCTACATCATCTCCTGTTCATTCATTCTTGTGGTTATAGTAAACATACTCTGTTCTCATGTTGTGAATGTACAGGAACACTCAGTATAGAGCATTCCTGTTCATTGATAACAGGGGATACAGAAATAGAGATTGGGGGGTCTGTGTCCTCAACCTCACTATCTATCTATCCCATATCTATCAGTCTATGTGTCTGTCTCATCAGCACCTCTTTTTCATATTGGTACCTCGGACTTCGGCCCCCTGATCCTATAATAGTAAGTTGCGTATAAACACTGGATTGCAGGCCTTTTGAATGGAAGAAAAGAGACCCCCTGCAATTTGAAAGACCTGAGAAACTATAAATAAGAAGAAGAATAAAGAGTTTTCCCCGCACCACCTTTCTGGGTAGTCCCAAGCCTCCAGGAAATGTGACACGCATTACTTTGCGTCGTTTGACAGCCAGTTCTGGAAGGTCGCCTCTTATTAAAGGAGGACGCGCGCCAGCTCAGTCCTGACCTGAATTAATTCTCCTTGAGCTGCTTTAAACATCACAGGGCCCCCTTTCCACTCAATTACTCGGGTCCATTGTCAGCGCAGTTGCTAAGCAGGTTTAGCTCTTCAGAGTGGGCGGCCTGTAATTAGTACTAAGTATCTTGTACAGCCAGTAATTATCCGGTGAGCAGAGCTGGCATTAGTGAATGACTCTGTACCCGCAGATTTTTCTAACCCCTGCGCTGCTGGGTGGGGTCTCCGCCAGCAGCGAGTGGGTAGAAGATGTGGCCCTCAAAATGACAATCCGGTACGGCTGAGGGGGTCCGCTGCACTTTGACTGACTGTGATATTGTAATTTGATTTGTATTTTGGCATTGTATTTCAGTGCCAACGTGTTTGTCCTTGGTACAGAGCCAGGTTTGTGGCTGTTATACTAGGATTAGGGTTAGGGTTGCCGGTTATAGAGCACCAGACAGAAATGGGCATTTGTCAGAATATGACTCTCCACTCATAAGTTATAATAATAGTGCAACCCTACTTTACAGGGATGGCTATCTGTGCTGTTATTAACCTGTATTCTCTCCCAGTCAGGGCAGCCATGTCAGCTCAGTGTTAAGCTATTAGGCCCCCCATGGAGGCTGTGCTGTCTACTGACCGAGCTCCGGGCTGATAACTAGCACCCTGGAGTAACTGCTTCAGAAGAACAAAACTGCCAATGAACATTGCCTTTTGGTTTTCATGTAATCTTACCAATACCCTTGTTAATTTTTAGGTTCTTAAATGTTAGAGGCACTGCAATCAGGCAGGGGATATGATGGCCTCCATGACTGCCCTTAAAGAAACCCTCACTACCCCTAGTGTTAGAGGCACAGGGGTAGCTGTCTGTGCTGTTATTGACATGTCAGTTCAGTGTCAAGCTGGTAGGCCTCCGTGGAGGCTGTGCTGTCTACTGACTGAGCTCAGGGCTGATAACTAGCACTGTGGCATAACTGCTGTATGATGGCCTCCATGACAGCCCTTAAAGAAACCCTCTCCTCACATCATTTAATTCAAGGTCATACGTTTTAATAATAAATAGTGCAACCTTAATTTTCAGGGATGGCTGTCTGTGCTGTTATTAACTTGTATTGTCTCCCAGACAGGGCAGCCATGTCAGCTCAGTGTTAAGCTGTTAGGCCCCCAATGGAGGCTGTGCTGTCCACTGACTGAGCTCAGGGCTGATAACTAGAACTCTGATGTAATTGCTGTAGGAGAACAAAACTGCCAATGAACATAACCTTTTAGCTTTCTTTTCAATGAAGCCTCCCAGCTTCTTTGTTATTTGTTAGGTTCTGAAGTGTTAGAGGCACTGCAATCAGGCAGGGGACGTGATGGCTTCCATGACAGCCCTTAAAGAAATCCTCTCCTCACATCATTTAATTCAAGATCATAAGTTGTAATAATAGTGCACCCTTAATTTTCAGGGGTAGCTGTCTGTGCTGTTATTAACTTGTATGCTCTCCTAGTCAGGGCAGCCATGTCAGCTCAGTGTTAAGCTGTAAGACCCTCCATGGAGGCTGTGCTGTCTACTGACTAAGCTCAGGGCTGATAACTAGCACTCTGGCATAGCTGCTGTAGGAGAACAAAACTGCTTATGAATGTAGCCTTTTAGCTTTCTCCTCATGTAATCCTAACCTTTGTTATTTGTTAGGTTCTTAAATGTTAGAGGTATTGGAAGCAGTCAGGGGATATGACAGCCTCCATGTGTACGTTTCGGATATAAATAGTAGAGAACGCCATGAAAGCTAAACATTATAACAATTATATTACAACCTAGCCGAATGTCTTCCCCCAAAATATCAGACGTTGCTGGCACATTTATTGACAATATTAATTTGCTTCCAAAATCTTGTCATACAGTTACCATTTGACTTTCGGTTTACAAAAGGTCCTTGACTGAGGATGGCTACTCCATAAGCCACTCCTATAAAAGGATCACGTTCACCTACCACACCAATAAGAGTTAACGTACGGTCCATGTCCCAGGCTGCTCTGTGATTGGAAGAAGCATCTGTCTGTACTGAATCCAGCATTGCACTGTGCAGGGATTGGTCGGTGCGGCCGCCTATCTCCGGCTGAATGCAGTGTGCCAGGCTGTGCTGTGATTGGACAGAGTACCTGCCTATCACCCTATGTGTGAACATGGCATTCAAGTGATTGGACCTTGCAGTGATTGGACCTTGCAGCTATCGGTCAATGACTGCGTGAGTGAATTTGGCATGCCTGGCTGCTACGTGATTGGACGGAGAAGCTGTCATTTAAAAGAGCATCATTGGCGGCAGCTGATCAGCAGTTTTCTTACCTAAATTTAGACTTGGAAATTCTGTGCCTGAAAGACATAAAGAAGAAAAATAGAAAATGATGCTGAGTCACAGCTGCCATTATTCCTCACAATTCCTCTCCGAACGCCACCACCGCCCGCGTCTTTCACGGCAGCCGCGGTAACGTGAGATGATGGCGCCGGCGGGAGGTGAGCGGAGGGCTTTATGAGCGCCGCATGCTGCAGGCACGTGGCTATGACAGGGAAGCGATGGCGTATAACGCTATTAAAGTGTATCCATGCACGGTGCACTAACCCGTGGCGCTGTGGTGGCACTAAAAGTTTCAGCATGCCTCAAGAGAACCTGTATTTCTGGAGTAAACACGGAGCTGCAGAGGAGGAGGGAAGGGCAGATAGAGCAGATAGAACTGTTTATAGTTTTCCATATTGGTGAATGTTAACTTTCCATTTCCACCTGCAAAGAAAAAAATTGCAACCATTGCAACAGCGTTCTGTATGCAATACAACTCTGATGCTCCTGTCATCAGCTCAGAAGCAAAGTTGCAGAAATCCTCAGCACTCTGTTTACACTCATCCCAGTGACTGTTTTACCCCTGGTGAGACACACAACCGGGTGTGCTTGAGGGGTGTTGGAGCTGATCATGTGATCACAACAATGGTGGACTGTCCTGCTTAGCGATCACTATAGCAGCGGCACTAGAATGGCCTATGTCAAAATATAAAGAGGTGAAGCAGGCAAGAACCACCATTAAAGCTTTCTAAAACCCTTCTAGTTTATCCAGATTGTAATTGTTTTTAATTTTCCTCACCAAAACAGAATTTAAATTTAACACTATATAACACTATAACACTAGCAGATTAGCCTGTGGGAGAGTTTGTATATCAGGCTCTATTGCTGCTCAGCATCTGAGAACATCAACGTTTTCGTATATGAAAGAGAACCTGTTACCTCCAAACTTACGCAGGGCCAATTATTGTATTACAGAACGTGACGGGAAAGCCAAAATGTTGTCACCAGAACAGCAATAGAGGGGAAGTCTTCCAATGGGGACGCCTGTTCTGGTGACAACTGCCTAAGGAGGGTACTCCCCCTCAGATTAGAGCCTTGGTTCTCAACTGCTCAACTGACTCCAAAAGTGGGTCGCGACCCCGTGTTCAGTGGGTCACTGCATGCCTTCCACTTTTCTAGGTGATCAGTTCTTGCGCCAAGCAGCTGTTCAAAATATTCTGCCCGGCTAGGGTTGCCACCTGTCCAGGATTCACCCGCACAGTCTGGGTTTAGAATGCTGTGTCCGGGTTTCATGGCAGCAGAAACCCGGACGCAAGATGCCATGCAGACAGGGGCAACCAAAATTAAGGTAGGGGCTATTGGCCCCCCACTGAATATAGTCTCAACTGTGATATTTACATATGAATGGGTGGCACTATTTATATATGAATAAGTCGTGACTCATTCGCCCCCAAAAATGTCCGCACGTCGCTAGAGTGCTCGGGTTTCGCTTGAAAGAAAAGGTGGCAACCCTATGCCCGGCGCCGAGTGTCAGCTTGAGATAGGATGGTGCAATGGCCGCGAGGGAGCTCCATTCATGCATGCATTGCTTACAGCTCCATCACGTGTCCTATAGAGGTACCTGGACCAGAGTGACACCATATTCTGGCTGCCGGCACCATTATAGGGCGTGCAAAGTAGCTGTAAAAGCAATGCATATATGGATAGAGCTCTATCACAGCACAGCAGCCCACACTGGACCCCAGGCTAAGGATTCACTCCAGTTCTGTTAAGGTAGGGAGACTGAGTGGACCTTAAGAAAATAAAATAAAATTCTGGAGTGTGTATGTATGTGTGAGAATGTCTGTGAGTGTGTGAGATTCGTGTCCGTGGTGTACGTCAGTGTTTTTGAGGGCCCTGCACACTAGTACAGTGCCTTAATCACATAGTACCGTGTGAGTGACGCACTGTACCACGTAATCACACCCACTATGCATTCTGGTGTGGGAGGTGTGTTGCATTGCCATTAATTTGAATGGTACCCTAAACGCACTTCCCACCCACAGTTCGTACACCCACACTAGAGCGCGTGGTACCCTAATGCCAGTGCGTTCCTTTGCAGTGCGACTTGGTTCGCGACTTAATGACCAAGAACAAATGTGGGTTCTGAGGTTACACAGGTTGAGAACCACTGGTTTAGACCCCATTCACACCTAGCGACATACCTTTTGCAGCGGATCCGCACGGCCGGGATAGCGCGACTTTCGGGGCGACGTTCCAGCGACGATCCAGCGACGGTAGCGCGACCTTCTCCGTCGGGCTCCATAGAAAAAAGGCAAAATCGCGCAAAATCCGCCGAAAAAAGGGTCCGGTAGAAGCGACTTGCGACCGCGACGCGCGACATGGAGTTAAGACAGCTCCATTGAAAACCATTGGCCGGCGACTTCTCGCAATATCGCGCGGCAAAAATGCGCGATATCGCGGCCGAAATCGCGCGATAATTCGCTACATGTGAACGGGGCCTTAGAGAGATGTTCTATTACTCCTTGTTGTGTCTCCTAGACAGGAAGTGCAGGGAAAGCTACCCAATGAGGTACGACCAGCAAAAAAGAACCCGGTGGTTCCCTGCTCTATCCAAAACCATTAAAAAACAAAAGTTGGCTAAAGTGTATTTCCACTTTTGCAGTCACATTGAGAAAACCCCTGTACATGTTTGTTCCCATTCACACAGCCTGCCTAAAAAAAATGTCTTACCTTTTTAGCTGTTTCTTTGTAGGAGGCCTTTAGGAAGTCTGCAAGATACTCCGAAAAACTTGCGAGTGACTCTGTCCCCTAGACCAAGGGGGACACACTGCATTTCCTCTCATTACCATACAATGCTTCTAAAACTTTAACTTTTTGTTAGGACAGATTCAAATCAAGTTTACAGTAATAATAACTAATAATGAGGTCTGCCAGCACAGTGCAGACAGGGTTAATTATGGTAAACATTAACTCCCCACCACCCTCAAGCCCCCTTCTTGAAATTACAGAGGAGGTAAAAACACTTTTCAAGAGATTTTAAGCAGAGATTTTAAAATAACAAACATAAAACAGATATTATCTCAATATGGCAGCAAAAGTGGAAAGTTTTATAGACTGCAGCTTGTCTAAAAGTCACTGAGATACAGTGTGTGTGTGTGGACTCACTGCCTGCTTTGTACATCGCTGCAGTTCTTTATCATAAGAAAATATGTGGCAATAAATAATAATTGAAGCCCTGCATTCCTTTCTAGCAGGTCTGAGCCTTAAAATAATATATATGAGGCCCTGCATCCCCTGCCATCCTTCCAGTGTAAGCTGTGCCTGTCACTAGATGGTGCTGTTCACATACCAAGCACAGGATTAGCAGCACCAATAGGACGCGCTGTTGCAACAGAGGTGCTGAGGATGCCAGAACTTATCTCTCTTCTTCTTTCAGCATAAAAAACTATGAAAAATATATTTCCACTTATATTTAACACAGTCGTGCAATGATGTACTGCACTTTTAGCTGAATGTGGAGGTGTTTTTAAAAGGCATTAAAGTGTTTAAAAATGCCAATCTTCTTTAATGGTTTGGAAGGCAGGGTTTGTCTGGTATAGAGGGTGGAGCTTATTATCATCCACCTAAAACGTCCTAGAATTTTTTATAATAAATGAACAAAATAAAAGGCAGTGCCTACCTTTTCCCACTCTCCTCCAGTACAGCGCAGCATTTTCTCCAACTCTACAGTTGTGCTGGATATGCAGTGACACTCCCACAACTTTCAGTGCACACGCTATAGGCTGAACAGCACACAGGCCTTGCGCTGAGCCGGGTTCAGCCAGATAAATTCATTTGCTGTGTGTTCCCATGTAGGGAAATTGCATACGTGAAGAGCAAACCGTGCAAATGGAATTAGGAACTAACTAACGCTTGAAGGTTCACACAATATGATTAGCATCAGGCAAGTCCCGTCTGTACAAACACTTTATTGTAACTAGACATTTAAAACTATACATATTACTCACGCCAACCGGACTCCGCAGCCCTCCTCATCCACATCGCCACTGCCTACGTTGTCGGTGTTCACAGACTCAGTCTCACTGGTCGGCATGCTCACTGAAAGGAAGAGATCCGATATATAAATACGTCTTCAGGGCATAAAATGAATACAATTAAAACAATGATAACACTTTTACAGGGAATGTATAGATATCTATCAGGGTGATTCACTAAAGGGTGAAGAGTTTGGAGAAGTGATCAATCTAGGACAACATGGCTGAACTGGGAAGTGAGCTGAATTGGAGAATGTTTCAAGATCAGCTATGTTGGCCTAGATTGTTCACTTCTCCTGCCTTCTCCAAACTCTTCACCCTTCTGTGAATAAGCCTGTATATTTTCTACAGCTGTAACACATGGTCACATGGTGATGAATTTAAATAATCATATCTGTGTTTCCACTTTCCTCCTTACTAGGTTGAATGGACTCCACTAGAGCTCTGAAGGTATGCTTTTGTATCTGGCACCAAGCTGTCAGTTGCAGATCCTGTAAGTCCCATAAGTTGCAAGGTGGGGCCTCCATGGATCGGACTTGTTTTTCCAGTACATCCCACAGATGCTCGATTGGATTGACATCGGGAGAATTTGTAGACCAAGTCATCACTCAGACTCATTGCTGTGTTCCTCAAACCATTCTTGAACCATTTTTGCAGTGTGGCAGGGCGCATTATCCCGCTAAAAGAGTCCACTGCCATTGGGGAGTATCTTTTCCATGGAGGGGTGTACTTGATCAGTAACAATGTTTAGGTTTACGTGTCAACGTAACATCCACATGAATGGCAGGTCCCATGGTTTCTCAGCAGAACATTGCCCAGGGCTTCACACTGTCTCCACCAGCTTGTCTTCTTCATATAGTGCATCCTGGTGCCATCTCTTCCCCAGGTAAGTGACACACATGTACCCAGCCATCCACATGATATAAGAGAAAATGTGATTGATCTGATCAGGCCCCCTTTTTCCATTGCTTCATGGTCCAGTTTTGATGCTCATATGCATATTGTAGATGCTTTTGGGGGTGGACACGGGTCAGCATGGGCCCCCTGACTGGTCTGCAGCTACATAGCCCCATACACAACAAACTGCGATGTACTGTGTGTTCAGACACTTTTCTATAGGAGCCAGCATGAACCTTTTCAGCAATTTGAACTCCAGTAGCTCTTCTATTGGATCGGACTACACATACCAGCCTTCTCTCCCCATTTACATCAATTAACCTTTGCCACCCATGGCCCTACCGGTTTTCCTTTCTTGGACCACTTTTGGTCGGTCTTGACCCCTGCAGACCGGGAATATCCCACAAGAGCTGCAGTTTTGGAGTTGCTCTGACCCAGTCCTCTATACATCACAATTTGGCCCTTGTCAAAGTCACTGGAATCCATACACTTGTCATTTTTTTCTGCTTCCAACACATCAAATTCAGGGACAAAATGTTCACATGCTGCCTAATATATCCCCCCACAGAGATAATAAATGTTATTCACTTCACCTCTCAGTGGTCATAATGTTATGGCCGATCGGTGTAGCAGCCAATCAGAATGTCCTATTCAATTTTAAACCTGCCCCAAGGCTGTAATGAGGATCGCTGCCGTGGGCATCACAGACAGTTCTCAATTCAGACGCTTGGATAAACATGGCCCCCTGTCTGGCAGGAGATGATCAGTCTGTGTCGCACTGCCCCGGCGCTCAGACGAGCCCATGCAGGATGCCTTCCAGGGCTGGATTTTCCACATAATCTTGTTAAATTTAGCGGAGAATTATTTTACGCTCCAGCGGATGCCAATAAAGGACGGGAGACGGAGCCTGAGAGAATTCGCATGCGGCACTCGACTCGTGTCTGCCCTCCTTCCCCGGACAAATGTCTCAGTCCATTAGGGGCGAGATATGTTTAGATCACAGAGTCAAGCAGGTTGTCCGTTTTGTGTCATTGGAGGGAGAGGTCAGGCCGTAAATCACAATGATGACACAAATGGAGGGATGCGGGACAAACGCCAACCGCCACCTCCTGCTGCCGATTCATCTTTATCTTGTCTGATAAGTCCTTAAAGGGACCATTGTAAGATATTTGTATTCATTTTTTTTTTACAGTGTATCTATATCCAAGAACCAAAATGTAATATATTGCAGCTTGCTAGTTCTTTGATATGGTGGCTGCATTACTTTTCTTTTTCAGGTGTTGACGCGCATTTACATGCATATGTGTTTAGATGCATCTGGTAACACATCCTAGCATCAAAAAGCGTTTACATGTGTTTCAAAGTTAAAATCTGTTCCTAGAAGCACTTGACTTCTATTTTTTGAAAACGCAGATAAACTGACTGCAGATAAACGCATCTAGATGCAAAGTGTGAATATACCCATTGAAACTCATTAGATGGGTTTACAAAAGCTTTTTAAATGCATATAAAACTATCTAATCGCACATAACTTGAATTGAAGCCTAACACAATTCCTGTCCTAAGGTGACAACACACGATTACTGTGCCGTATCTAAGGAAGATCGGCATTGTCACCTAGAACATGACTACAAAACACCTCCCCTCCATAACATGTAGTCCACAAAGGAGAACTGGGCAGGGATGATAGCACTGCAGAGTTACAGGAGCTCAGAAGAAACAGATTTAACAAAACAATGGTATATTCAACAGACCAAATAATAGCAAATAGCAGTTGTTAGGGTTTACATTCACTGAATGTTTAATAATGTATTTTCTATCAAGCAAATATGAAATATTACACGTTAACATTCATAATTCAGCATTTTGCAGGCAACCTCTACATCTGTGCTGTGAAGCAGACCTGTACAGAAGGAGAGATCAGATTATACAGTCTGCTGAATGACTCAGAGGAGGGACATGCCCCATCCCTCTCTCCTAGCAGAGACAGGATCAGCTACACTAGCCTTTTATACACAAGCTGTCAACAAGCACCCAGGCAGTGCTGGGATGTCTTATTACTTTGTCACGGGTCTGTCCTATGTTAATAATGTTTATATGTAGAAACAAAGATGTTCTCCAAACAATTGAAAAAAAAATTATAAATAGTTTGCAGATTTGTAAACACTAAAAAATAACTATGTTAACAATGAAACCTTAAAGCGGAGCTTTACCCATATCTTTAAAATGACAACAAACACACCTTTAGTAATGACAATCTATATACACATACTTCTAGATGATTGCCGGCTTTGTATTCTTTGCATTCCTTATTTCTCTTTTCTTCCCCGGTCTTCTGACAATGGTCATGATTACTAAGGGCAGATTACAAGCTCTCCTTTTACTTCCTGGATTTCTGGCACATGTGACTAGGACATGTGACCATGCACATCATCTCAGGGGAGGAAAATGCCCTTCCCTGAGATCTCATAAGACTACAGATGAGATTTCCCAGCAATGCTCTGCTGATGACAAGGCAATCCCAGTGTGCATTGCTTTGGCAATCTGAAATCATTTTGCCCTTTCAAAGCAGGAAGTGAATGCTCTGCAAGTGTAAGTATTTCACGATCACAGCATTGTACACCTGACATGTCTATGTTATTATTAATCATCGTACATAGAGGGATGCATTGGTAGAATTTTATTTTTAAGTGTAAAGGTCTGCTTTAAGGGCCCATTTACACTTCTGCATCATGGTTGTGTGTGTTAAGGGGTTAACTCATGCAATGTGTTACAACTCATGTAAAATGCACTGGTGCATTGCAATGCCTTTCATTTTGAATGGCACCCCAACACACTAAGGCAATGCATTGGTGTTATAGCATGCCACAATGGGCAGTGGTGCATTGCATTAGCATGTTAGGGTGCGTTGGCAGCCCATTCATTTTGGTTTCAATGTTTTTATTCATTTTCAAAGAACGATAAAGAGTGTTATAGTACAAAACGTGCAGTCATGGGGCACGACACTGTTACAGGACTGGAATCAGAAAGAGAGCGCAACACAGCACATAATGACATAAGGTAGCATGAAAGGAATATCAAAATGATTGCAAACTTCATAACATTTTCTCGGTAAGAAATAGTGCAAATGGTACCATCTGGGATGCTATCACTCAATTGAACATTACAGGCTATTGTCGGTGATGCCATAGACATAAAGAAAAAAGATTCCTATGTTAATGCACAGTGGTGAAAGAAATGTTCAGGAGAATCCATCCGTAAGTACTAATGAAAGATAATTGGCAACGGTCCTGTACCATATGGGTAATGGGCCAACTAAGGGTTGAAGTGCAAAATACATTGTCGAGTAAACAATAGGAGTCAAGAAACAAAGGGGGGCTAAGGAGATACGAAAACAATAAAGAGAGAAGCCCCCCACCATGTGGAGTAAGGGGGGAGATGATGGGTGGCAAACATCCCCATCGCTGACCCTACAATGTGTCCGGATTGAGGTCTGGGTGATAAAGGCGAAGCCAAGGCATCCAAATTTGCAAGAAGCGTTTGTGTTTGTCAGATAATATGCTCGTGAAGCGTTCATTAATCATAGTCGCGTCAACCTTTAGTTTAACCGCTCTAAAAGGGATCAACTGCCTTTTCCAGATACCAAAGATGATCAATTGAGCAGCTTGTACAATAAAATGTGCAAGACTGCACTGGGGTCTGGAGAGATCAGCTAAGTTACCATGCAAAAGAGCTGTCCAGGGGGTTTTCGGGATACGCTTATGAAATAGTATTTGCAACAATTTAAATATCCGGGACCAAAAGGAGGAAACAAATGGGCAGCCCATTCATTTCAACAGACTGGTTTAAAGCAAAGCACCTAAGCACGTTAACAAGCGCCCTTAACACACTGCAAAGAAGTATAGTAAATGGGCCCTGATACTTTCCCTTTTTTTGTTTTTTTGTTTTTTTTTCTGATTGTGTCCTCACTGGACAAATCTTTTTCTCTTTTCTCATTTCCTTTGTGCGATGGGAAATCTAAAATGTTACAGTTGCCCCAGAAACAGGAAGTAAATAGAAATCATCCTATAGGACACTTATTTAGGTGCCATTTGTCTAAGGGTGGATTTCCCCTCATTGTGGAGACTCTCATTTCCTGTGGTGTCTCCAGGATAGGAAGTGAGGGGAAACTCTCTCCAAAGGGGCACACACAACAGAAAACACACCTGACCTGCACACATGAACAGATGCCAATAGCCACTTTTACTACTCATACATTTGAGGTGTAATAATTAGGGTGTCACCAAAGCTACAGGAAGAAAGACTCACTGTTCCGTGGCTTGTCCTCATCTATGTCCTCGTCTTCATTCTCGGGATCGATGTCCTCGGCCTGCGTGATCCAGTCTAGATATCCCTTCAGGTCTTCTTCCAGCTGTTGCTTCTCTCTTAATTTCTGGAAGTCACCCCGAGCCTTGGCCTTCTCTCGCTCCTTGGAAAACTCTCTGATGAGGCAGAGAACGGTTAAATACAGGAAAAGCAATAGTCCAAAAACACCAAAAAACAGGAGCATGGGACAAGGTAAAGCTTTGTCTCCATCTATAGATACCAGGGAGAAGCAGAGACTACACAGAGGTCAAATGTACGTACAATGAAACTTTGATCATTTGTTACACTGTATAGGTATACGTAAAATCCTGTTTTTTCATCCTTCCCTCCATCTTAGTGCAGCTGATCTCTTCCAGCCTCTTTCAACCACTTCATGCCTACCTGCTCTCGGTCCAGTGTCAGCTGCCCATCATCGCTCAGGACTGGCTTCACAATGGGGCCATGCCTGCACATTGTGTGTCACTACTTTTAGTCTCCACTAGGTGGAGGCATTCTGAATTGAGAAAGCTGGTCGGATGTCCAGTGAAACGTCTTCAAGAAAAATACAGCAAGTCCAGTTGCCTTGACTTATTTTTTACAGATATAACATGACCTGGATGAATGAGAACCTTCACGGACACCTTCATGGTAACATCACCAGGGATTATTTTAATGAAAGACGCGGTTTCACAAAAAATGTTAACTTTTAAATTGACATTAACATGTCAAAGCTTATTTGAAAGCTTAGTGAATGGGCTTAGATATACCTTAAACCAGGGGTAGGCAACCTCTGCACTCCAGCTGCATCATCCCATCATGCTTCTGTCTCTGGGAGTCATGCCTATGGCAGTCAGAGTCTTGCAATGCTTCATGGAACTTGTAGTTCTACAACAGCTGGAGTACCAAGGTAGCCTACCCGTGCCTTAAATGATGGGTGGCATTTTCCTACTGTGGAGGGCTAACTCTGTCTACAATATGTGCTTCCTTTTATATTAACTTCCATTTACAATCTATGCCACACCTACAACTACATAAATTTCCCGCCCATGCAGAGCATGCCCTGTGTCGCAAGGTCACACCCTAGAGCTTCAACAGAGAGGATTTCTTTGCCTTAAAAAGACTGAAAGATTATTGGGAGAAGAATGGAGGTGCATACAGTATATCATAATAACACCTATGAATACTCGCTATTCAGTTCTGTAATTAGGCTGGGGGAGATAAATTAATATGGAATTCAGGAGCCAGTCTATCCAATCCAAGAGCCAGCAGGATTTTGTTTTAGGAGCATGCTCCATTGACAACAACTAGAGAAAGCCTCAAAAGTTGGGCACCAGCTTTCATTTTTAATGAGCATTGTCTACCAGGCTCCTGGGATTTATCCAGCCCTGCATTAAAGGAGAACTATGAGGTGAGTGCTTTTCACTCACCTCATAGTTCTAGCCGACCTGTGACAATGAGACTGTCACAGGTCGGCTCAGTAGATCGGGAGGTCGGCGAACACATACTGGCGCTCACTTACCTCTCGATCCTGTCACGGCTCTCTGCCGTGACAGGGGAGGGGCTGGATTCCCCCCTCCCCGCTCCGATCCGCCAGCACTGACTGGTGGAACAGACGGGGGAGGGGGCGGGTACAGCTGGCTCTGCCTCTGTCCCTTACGCAGCTGGGCGGATCCAGACATAATTGTCGGGATCCGCTTCCGCTGCGGCGTCTCAGTATACTGCGAGCTGTAGCTCGCGGTATACTGAGCTTAGGGTGACGGGAGGACGCTAGTTTGTGTCCTCTCGTTACCCTAAGGAGAACTATGGGGAAAAGCCTTAACCCCATAGTTCTCCTTTAAGCCTTATCAGTCAAGTATCTGTACAATATATGAATTTCCACCCATCTCAAGGTGTGTCAATGTGATGTGTCACCTTACTTCCTGTTTCTGTTTCAAGGGTAGAAAACAAAAGCTAAAAAGACTGCATTACAATAAAATAATTTACAATAGATAATATAAGATAATATAAGATTCCACCTGGGATCGGAATATTCATTGGTACTAGGACAAACCCCAAAGGTGCTACATAGAAAAATTTTCTTCACACCCCAGAAAGACATAAAGAATAGTTCTGACAACCGCACTGTACATAATATAATAATAATAACTTATAGGTTCAGTGGCACAGATGTTTCAGTTATGGAATGTAAATAGTAACCGTTATATGTTGGCTCGGTAAGAACCCAACAAGGGGACCATTTTCCTTCAAGAAGAGATCAAGGTTTCCCAAAGGTCTCCTGGACAAAAAAGATTTTCAAAACCTTTTAAATTTTTCTAAAAAGTTCAAGGGAATTTTCCTTGAATAATCCCGCGTGATCTCAGAGAAATCAGCCTCGGTTTCCACAAGCGGCTGTTTGTGCTTTACAAAATGTCAAATTGCGATCAAAGCAGAAGAAGAGCGAGACAAAGGTTGGCGGCAGCAGAGGGGCGCAGATTCCGGAGCAGAATATCAATGTCGGCACTGTGTGAGGCTGGGTGTTACTTTTTATGGCTTTAGAGGGAATGTCATGTTCATCTCACGGTCCTTCAGATGAAAAGGCTGCAGGGCCCGCAGACTCCTCTCTGCTCATGAGACCTGTCAGGAGGAGTCACGGGAGCCTTTTATGGATCGCTGGAGGTCAGAGGAGGACAAATGGATGAGGCAGAGATTGCCACTAAAGATGGTCAAAAAGAGAAAGTTAAAGTGGACTTCTACTCACTACTTCTACTACTGTCACAACCTGAGAATGACCGGCGGATCTTGAGATATCGGCAGCTGAAGTTAAATGCTTTTTAATATTTGTGAAAGTTGTGTTTGGTTTCATCCCCTCCTAAATCTCTCTATTGGCTCCTTTATCTCTGGTGGGCAACCATGGCAGGGACGCCTAGGATCACATGATCTCTGCTGAATGGGAAAGTCACACTTCAGACTGACTAGTCCAGCAGGATTGAAGCACAGTTTTACAAAGATTTTCCTCTCTTTGGAGGGATTTCTTCTCACTTCCTGTTGTGTTTATCAGAGAGTAGGTGAAGGGAAAACTACCTTATGGGACACAGATGGCACAAAAAAGTTTGCAGGGGTCATAACCCTCACTTTAAAAAAAATGCTTTAATTTCTACTGATTTCCTTTTTACCTCACTTTAGAGAGGCTAACTTCCTGTTGTGTCTTTGGGGCAGGAAATTAATAATAATCTACAGACAACAACAAAAAACTAACTAGGGTTTCAACCCTTCCCTACCCTATTCATCAGTAAAAAAAAAGTTTGGACTATGGATACACTTTGAAAGAAAACTAAAGCCAAACATTTTCTTTCGCTTTAATCCTAATTTGGGTGAAAGGAGTACGTTTACCAATGTCCTCCTGTGACCCAAAGTCAGCATCTAGTGGGCAGCTGCCTGCTAATTGCCGACAGCACACAGCCGCTCTGCAGCAGGGAAAGGTCTTGACAATTTTGTCGGGGTCCACCCCACTGCCTGATTGACAGCTGGCTCTGCCTCTCTGGAGTCAGAGCCAACTGTGCCCGCCCCCTCCCCTGTCTGTCCCACCAATGAGTGCTGGAGGAACAGAGAGGGAAGGGGGAATCCCTGCGGGGAGCGGTGACTGACAGTCACTGCTCTCTGCAGGGAGATGAACGTGAGTTGAGGGATCAGCAGTTCCCGAGCTATAGAGTCGGTGTAGAGTGTCCCACACCAGCTCTAAGAATTGGGAACAGTACATTTTACTCTCCAAAAACGTCTTCTTAAATGACTATCAGTTTCCTTTTAAGCTAGCCAGTACAAGAGTAAGAGAGGAAATCAGAGGCAACCCCGGGGTATTCCCTTAAACCATACAGAGGCAGCGTACTGTATGAACGATATACAGAAAACTCCACCTACCACGCCAGACGCAGTAGTACAACAAATCATATATAACGCATAGCGCCTTAAAATCACAACGCAGATTGCGATCTGCCTGCCCAACATCCTCTTTCCCTACATTCCTTCAGCGTTACGAAATGAAAGTGTCAGGTTATCAGGCAATCTTTTCTCGCTTCCCCTGTTGTCACTTGAGCGAGCGAGCGACACGCTGCGTGCAGCATTATCAGCAATAAACATTTTTATTCAAGGTATTATTTGTGAGATGAAAAGGCTGCAATTGTATCTGCCGGAAGATAAAGGAATCGTGGCTCTTGGCGGCAGCTGTTTACGGAGATCATGAATAAAGCTCAGGATTTCAAGTGCTCGCGTCTTCGTCATCGAGCCTGTAATTTGCAGTCTGCTAAAAATGGCAAGAGCGTGCGGCGAGGGCTCCGGCCGGGACTGGAGGAAAGCAAAGTGCAGACAAGGAAATTCTCTGCTTACATAGAAAAAGAGTAAGCCACGGCAATGCCTACGATTGTTTAAAGAAGCTAAGGTGACAACGTCCGATCTCTAAGACTTTTGCTGACAACTTCAACCCACTGGTAACTTACTAGGAACTGCCCTGAGCCAAACTGCTTCAAGGCTCTTTGCGTTCGCCAACTACCAGAATGAACACCAACCAAGTTCTCAAAACGAAAGGACAAGTGATTCATATTTATTTCTCCGCTCTGCTGGGTTGTATTTAATTGTATCCAGAGAGCAGCATTGTGTCATCTCTAACAGCAATGTAGGTATAGAGTATAGAGAGACATGGCTGAAAAGCACAGGAGTGAGCAAGAAGGAAATTATGAATATAACTGATGCTGTAAGAGATGGAAAGAACATAGTAGAAATATACACACACATATACACAAGTGGCTGATTTATAAATGTTCTGCCCAGTGTACAGCCTGGTGAATGCCATTTGCACAGAAATGCTGCCACGAGATGGCGATGGTGAGCACAGGAATTTTTCTATGCTCCTTGGCTCCATCTAGTGGCACTTGTGCTCTGGGAACAACATTCGCCAAGCTATACACTGGGCGGAACATTTATAAATCAGTTCCTTTTTTTAAGTGACAATTAACAACATTTCAATAAATAAAAAATAAAAAAGTAGGACATTCACCCAAAAAAGGAACTAGATTGTCTTACCCGCTCAACACACCAAGAACCAGGTTCAGAACGAAAAAGGACCCAAAGATGACAAGGCTGACGAAGTACACGCAGGGCAGTTCGTATCCCATGGCGTCCTGCATCTAAACACAATTACAGAGGTGGAATTAAATGATAGGCAAAAGAAGACTTCTTATGCTCGGGGATCGTGTACATCGTTATGTGAGCACTATGGGTCAGCCTGGTTAGTTTTTGGTGAGGAGTTCGAGAAGGACAAGTGTGATCCTGCGGCATCCCTGACTCTCCCTATGTTATAAAGTGTCCACTATAGCCATCAGCCTTCTTACGGCTCCATTTATATACATTTTGCATTGCTATATAAATCCCAATACTCATCAGCGCCACCTAGGGGCGCCAGTGATGCAAGAACAGCATACGCCTGGCGGAATATTTATAAATGAAGCCCTTAATCTAAATCCCTAAATAATGCCCTAGGTCCCCACAGTACCTTACCCTATGCCAAAACCTGACCCTTACACTTACATTTCATCTCTAGCCCAAACTTTTTAGTGGGAAAAGTTGGAACCCATTTCTGTTTTTACTGAATGCAAGACAAATCCAGAACTGCTTATATTTTTCTTTACACTGGTAATCGGGGACTGATGCAAAGAAAAAAGTGCCTAAATCTAACGTGGTATCAGCTTCTAAGCAGTTCCTGTACAGCAGAGCTCAGACTAGGGGAAGGAGAAGCAGCACAATGAGTTGTGCTGCAGAGCAAGGAGCATGCTCATAGGAACAAAGATGTGCTCATCCTTCTACTGCTACTTCCTTTATGTCTATTTACTGGCTGAAGGACAAAACCTCCGTGCTGTGTGACACAGTAGTATAAATTGCAGGACTGGAAGGACAGAAATACAAAAACAAATTGGCAGGTAAAACAGCTAACATATATTTGTTTCATTTGTGTATTTAACTGCTTGCCTGGAATTCAATTTTATTTTTAGTGTCTCAGGAGCCATTTTGGCTATATCCAGAAACGTCCGTCACTCACCCAGTAGAGCACGTCCGTCCAGCCCTCCATGGTAATGCATTGAAAGACGGTGAGCATGGCGAATGCAAAGTTGTCAAAATTGGTGATCCCATGCTTGGGCCCATCCCAGCCGGACTCGCAGATGGTCTCGTTGGGACAGTGGCGTCCATTATTGCTAATGAGGGCGCAGGGCGAGGGCTCCTCCTCTGCAGGGACATCTGAATGGAGACAGAAGTCAACAGTAAGTGTGACCGTTCAGAACGTTCCCGGTGAAGATTGTGATACAGTCACTGTGGTTGCGTTATTTTCAGGCCACATGAAACTGCTTCAAAATGACATTTTCTATTCACAAATTTGAAGGCCCCATTGAACCAAATAGGTCTGGATGAGTCTACTGGGCCTCATGGATGAATAAAACCATGGTATCCCCATTCAAAATGAATTGATTCTCAGAACCAACAAAGTCCCAACAAGCTTGATGGTTATTAGTTATTTATTATTTACCAGAGCCTTGCATGTGACATCGGCTATAACCACTGAGGCCAATTACCAAGGGAACATAGAACTGCGTCACCATCTGTGTAAAGCAGATTGAGTTGGTTTAGAGATGGTCATTAGAAGGATTTAGACTCCTCAAATGATCGGCTACTTAACCATGTTTGGGTAGACAGATCTCCTGAGCTCCCTTACTCTTGGCCTTCTTGTGGCTGCTGGGGGAAGACCAGCCAAAACGTACTTGGTTAGTTCATCCAAAATATCAGAAAAAAACTCTGCCTTTAAATATACTTTGAAAGTCCACACCACTCAGATGGGACCTTCATGGAAATGCATACAGTTGACATGGTCTACTAATCCAGGACTATTATTCTAGTGGGTACACCCAGGTATCTTGCTTGGTATGAAATAGCTGTTAACCTTGGAGGGTTATTAGTTTGCATTGTGGCCTAACAGTGCCGGGGTTCTAGGACCAAATTCTAATAGGGACAACCTACATACCGTATATCATATGTTTGCATGGGCTTCCCCCAGGTGCTACGGTGACCTCCAACACATTCTAGTGAGTTAGCTGGCTTTAACCCAAATAGGTCTAGAGGGTATAGAACATGTGCATCTGTATGTCTGTCATAGGGACATTATATAGGTTCATGGTTTCTAATACACAATAAGGCAGTGTGGGATTTGTCAGTGCTCTTTAAAGGGTCAGTCAACTGAAAACTTGACTTATAGGTGGGGGGCTGAGTAAGCACCTAATTTCTTAAATACTTTGTATACCCCAAAAATAGGGTCTCTCTTCTATAATTCCCTGTTCTGTTCCTGTCCACCCATGAGTTTGGGGTACCTCTGGCCACCTTGGTATGTTCCAGCTCCTTCTGTAAGATAATATATTACAAATAAAAGTCCACCAGGGATGGTGGGAGCCCAATATAAGTGGCACATTAAGTAAGCAGACCCGGGAACTTAGCTCAGGGATGGTGGGAACCCCTCATAATGGGTTCAGCAGATGTGCAGACCCAGAAATTCAGCTCAGGCATGGTGGGAGCCCCTCATAATGGGCACAGCAGGTGTGCAGGCCCGGTGGGCACAGCCCAGTGATGGTGGGAACCTCTTATAATGGACACAGCTGGTGGGCAGACCCAGGAACTCAGCCCAGGGCTGGTGGGAACCCCTCATAATGGGCACAGCAGGTGTATAGACCCGGGAACTCAGCACAGGGAAGGTGGAAACGTCTCATTACTGGCACAGCAGATGTACAGTCCCAGCAAGACAGACCAGAGGTCTCATCTACAAACTCCCACATATATAGAAGAGACTGTCAAGGGGTTTAAATCGCCAGCATCTACTGAACACTGAAATACTAGTTTTCAGTGGACTATCCCTTCAATAATTGAAAGTCTTGGCATACAGCTGGTATAAATCTTACTGCAACAGAAGAGCTTAGGGGATATCACTAAAGGATTCTGAAGAATGACTTAATTAGGGAGTCAGGAGAAATGTCAACACTAGTGGAATATAATAGGCCTCTGTGAACAGAAATATCTTCAAGGAGGACGACTATTCAAGTATTCAGTAATAGTGGGCAGTCTGAGAGGTAGAGTAAGGAAGAAAAGTCTTTGATATAGGAGATGGTAACCAGGGAGAACAGGAAGAGCAGATCAATTGTTTGTTAAGGTTTATGGAAACCCTAACAATGAACTATTTACTCCCTTTTGATCTGTTAAATATACCATTGTTATACTGTATCTGTTGTTCTATAAGTGCAAAAACTGATTGCTGAAATCATGTGCGCTGATAACTTCCTGTGCTCCCTGCCTGTGCTGCACTCTTATCATCGCTCTTGGCTTTCTTTGTGGACTACAAAACACCTCCCAATGTGTCATGGAGATGAGGAGATAGGGAGCTGTTCTGTAGCTATATCCTAGAGTGACAACCCTACTTCTCCACAAATTAAGTACAATGAGCGAATGTGGTCACAGTAGGAGTAAGTGTGAAAATAAAGGAAAACAAAGGAAAATAAAGGAAAAATGAACTAATGCCGCCATCATATCTAAGGACTGGTAAGCTGCAGCATATTAGGGTTAGATACACGTTAATATTTATGTCCCCAGCTAAGCTCTGTATGCATTAAGGGGCTCAGTAATCGGTACAGATGTACATTAATCAGTTACAGCGTTCCCAAATCTCCCATTTCTCATGGAATAAGCTCTACTTGGAATACACATAATTTCGCCCTGATCCTCAGGCTAGGAAACGGATATTACGTATTGCCATGCAGCGACAGCATTTTAATCAGCTCGGCAAGCGAATGAAGTGGCAGGTTCACTCCCATGAGAGCTGATAATGGAATGTTTATTTTCCCAGAATTCCCCGGTGACCAAATTAATATCTGATCCCCTGGAGGCGATCGCTGTGGAGTCCAGGCCCGGTCACAGCTTTGGGATGTTCCATTAACACGTCGGTTATTTAATTGTCACAAAACAGCAACGTCCCCCAGGATGAGGATGACGCTGCTCGGCTGTGCTGGGTAGAAAGTAGCTGCAGAATTGGTCTGATCTTGTAAAGCAGAAATGACACATAGCAGACCATTCCAATGTGCTCACATTATATTTAGACATTTACCTGAAACGTCTACCATTTGATCTAAAGCCAAAACGTTATTTTTTTTTAAATTGTTTTTGATGGAGTGAGAAGGGTTAACTGGAAGAAAAAGTGATAGGAGAGCCACATTTTAATGTTGCCACTGGGACAGGAAGTGAAGTTGAACGGGGACCTTACGGACTCAGACTGGTCCACCACCTATCATTACACTCACAAATCATCTGTCTCCTCATATGCTCAGGAAAAAAAAACTACAAAATCCTTACCAGATGGTACAGAGACCCGGTCTCCCTACATCGGATCTTCCCTTCTTCTCCAGAGACCTGCTGGCGGTGCAATGAGGTAAGGGGCACATACCTCCATATATGGTGGACGTGTCCTATGATTTACTCGTTTTGACAAAAAATATTCAAGATCTACAACCATTTATATGGAGACACCCTAGTACCCTCACCAGCTGTAGTATTACTGTCACTCCTGCCGGGATCCCGGAAGACTCAAAAAAACATGATACTTAGACATATTCTGTCCGCAGCTAGGCAGGTAATTCCCTTAAATTGGAAAAAATCTAGTATCTCCGCCCCTTTCCCAATGGGTTAGCCACGTCAACTATATAATGCTTATGGAGGAACTAATGGCGACTGATGCTAATGCCTTTCCTAAGTTCATGTCCCAATGGAGAGTGCGGATTCACTTTTCCTCCTCCACTGACCTACAGTCCTACCTCTAAAACACTACCCTGGCGGTGACTTGGACGCCTCAAATCACGATACACAACCTCAGTTCACGAACCGTGACCCCCCTTCCCCCTAATCCCCTCTCTCTTTCATCCGAATTTCCCTCCTCTTTCCGAATTTCCCTCCTCTATCAGCTCTCCTCTCTCTGTTTCCCTCCCTTTCTACAACTTTCCTAACATATCAGGATGTTTAAAATGTTTGTTCGGAGAAGGTATTAAGCAGTGCTGACAAGGGCTACAATATCTGGACACGCAATCTCAATTCCCACCGGAATTATACTGTGGATATAGTCATAGTGGTGATGATCCTTTCTACATTGAATTATGCATAACCCAGAAATGCCTTAGCTTTACATATCGTGTAACCAAATATAAGTCGCCCTAGACACCGACCCTTGAATGTCCATGCCAGACCGCCAATGTTCAATTCACATACTCATGTATCCTGTACTTTTTATACCCTTCTTGAGTTTCAATACTGAATGTTATGAAACCTGTTTAAAAAATGCTAATAAAAACTGATTCAACACTAAAACTAAAAAAAAAAGTGTTGGCTTTAGATACACTTGATATCCTTTTACAATTTGATGTATCGGATGAAAAGTTGGTCCACCTTTGTTAGCCAGGAAGTAGCAGGTTTTATGCATCTTGCCCATGAACAGCTCCAGCCCGATAATGGCGTAGATGATAATGACGAACAGCACCAACAGGGCGATGTGCAGCAGCGGCACCATGGCCTTAATGATAGAATTTAGCACCACCTGAAGACCTGTAAACACACAACGCATATGTCAAAACCACAAAACTTTATTTATGTGCAAGCAAAAGTCATCTGATTGAAATTACATCAGCTAATCAAAGTTGGCGAATAATTGAAAATGGCACAATTGACAAATCTTTGTGTCATTTTATGCTGTATTTGCTAATGGCAACTTTCCATGAAAACAGAACGCCAGCTTTTTGGCACAAGCATTGTGCAGCACTAATAACAGGAAATAGCTGTCTGTCTGTGTGTGTGTGTGTATATATATATATATATATATATA